CTCTCTCTCTCTCTCTCTGTCTCTCTGTCTTATCTGGCCTCGTTTAATTATCTGGTAAGCTAACAGGGTTGACCAAGAAAAAGATTCTCTTTGCCTTTTACCAAAGAGGAAGCCAGAGATTAAAGTAATGAACTGAAGAGCTGTGCTAAACATAATGCAGTAAGTCTTAGAGCAATCTTAAGTACAAAGTACATTTTATATTTTTGAACAACATGTAGGCCTCCTGAGAGCAGGGACCATTTCTTTATTTTGTCAAACTACTAGAACCTGGCTGAGGGCGCTATAGGGGCCTCACTCACGCCATGTAGTTTTCCGTATTAGAGAAAGAATGAAGGTAAGACCAGAAGGGGCAGATAAGCCCGGGAGTATTTTAGCTGAATCACTCCTTCCTGCCGCCCATGGTTGCATGTTCTGTCTAATGGGGAGATGTCTGGTGACAACAGCGGTGACATATGACTCATTGGAAGGCAGTGTTTAAAAGCCCTTAATTCCTCACACCTGACCACTGTCCCCGTTTTCAGTACAGCCCAGGTGGCCGCAGAATGCAAAAGGCACCTCTACAGCGGACTCATTAAATTTGGATAATCGGCATTGACGTGAATGCGAATAAGTCCAGCCATTAAGCCATTGTGTCCGATATTAGTTGTAAATCAGAACGAACTATTTATAAATCGCAGGAGGTTTGAGAAAGCTTACTTTTCCAGGGTTTGCATTTGGTGTCAGTTCTTTTAAAAAATGTGCTTTGAAGTGGGTTTTTTTTTTTGGTCTTGTTTTGTGTGTATGTCATTTAAAAAAAATTTTTTTTTAAAAATTTGAGTAGAAATGTTCTTGCTCTCCTGGAAAATATCAGGCCTCATTTTGAAGTTTGGCTCTAAGGGACTCGTGCCCAGGTGTTCCCAGGGGCCACTCTCAGCCCCTCCAGGAGCCTTTTATTTCAAAGCTACCGTCATGTATGTTTAAAGGCCATTTTTCCCATTTTCATCGTCTTCCTTACTCATCCTTGTTCTCATCTTCCTTCAGCAGCTTTGCTTTCTTAGGAATGCTCAGTAAAGCCTGGGTTCCCATGTGGAATACTTGGAAATGAGCATCAGGCTCTAAGCTGGATTGTGAAGTCCTTGCGTGCAAATTCCGGGGCAGGCTTGCTGTTTGGGGGGGAATCTCCACAGCCCAGACAGGGAGCAGTGCTTACTCTTCAATGAGTGACATCTTGGATCATGACCCCAGGAACCAGTAGATCACTGAGTGCTCAGGGCATCTTACGGTGCTCAAAAGCATGTGAAGAATTCAAAATAATTCCTAGGCCAGCAAATGAGTGTAGTATCTTCTCCCCGTAGTATCTCAGTTTTGTTGTAATTATGACCTAGGAGGGAAAGTCACACAGCTTGGATCTTGTCTCCTAGTGGGCCGAGCACAGGACCGTGAGTTGTACGAGGCTACTGGTCCCGACACTGGTATGAACCAGTGATCTTGAAAGTCGCTTTGTGGTTTGGTCTGTTTTCCCATCTCTAAAATGAGTTGTTTGGACTAGATGATCTGCCTTGAAGATTCTTTCTCCCAATGCGTGTGCACTCGGTGTATTGTTTCCCTATTTTAAAATTAATTTTACTGGTACCCCTTACATTTTTTAATGTTTTTTTTTTTTCGGGGAGAGGGGTGGGAGGGGGACAGAAACACCTATCTTCTCTTCCTTTGTGAAATTTTACCTGGTAATGATTTTATACTGTCCGGTGAAATGGATGGGAAGAAATGCTAGCATTTATCGACTAGCCCCAAACGAGCTGGACATTATTGGGGCAGAGAGCTAACCATACAAGAAGGAGAAATGCTTCCTAAGGAAAAAGCGCACCCACAAAACCTGTGCTTCTCCGCATGCAGCCAAGTTGTGTCTCCTGGAAGGTAACATCCAGTTCTCAGCAGCAGTGTTAGCCCTTCAGCTGTAATGAATTTGTGAGTGTGAGACATTCCTCATGCTTGTGTTATCTGTTTGCGTTTTAGGACAACAGTAGTAGCAGCAGCTGCCTTCTTGGACGCCTTTCAGAAAGTGGCTGACATGGCGACCAACACACGTGGTAAGCAGATGGAGGCATGGCTTCCAGCCGCCAGGGAATTCAGCGTGTGGGCTCTTTCCCTTGGGGGTGGCGTCAGGAGAAGATAACAGCTTAAGTTATCAGAGCTTAGCTGACTCACATTTTAACTTTTTTTCCCCCTAACTTGATGAGATTCCACATGGTAGAAGTTGCAAATAGTTCTCCAGATAACAACGCACAAAAGAAGAAGAATAAAAAATAAAGGAAAGGAACCACTGTTTAGGCATGAGGTGGCTTGAGGTGCTTCCTGGCCATTTTAATGATGTGCTGATGGTAGAGCCTTGAGCTGTGCATTTGGTTGCAGTTGATTTTTCCCTCCTCACAGGGGTTGTCCTGAGGTTTTCCTTGGTCCCTTGTGGAATGGGGAGCAGTGAGAATGATGGGATAGACCATTTTTCTGGGCTCTGTAAAACGAGGAACACTTGTAGTGTCCTGTTGTGTTGTATCTGTTTATGTGTCTCCCGCATTTGACTGCAAACTCCTTGAGGTACAGACTATAACTTACTCATGTCTGAACCCTGCCAAACATCATAGCTGGAACAGAGGAAATGTTCACGGTTTCTTTATTCAATCAGGGAGCCAAGAGAAATCTTTTGAAAAATTGTAATGGTTTCAGTGACGACTGACACATACAGAGGACGAATAATAACATGTGAAAGGCATACAGAAGAAAATGAATACCCCTGAACGCCCCCACCATGATTAGAGCTAAGACATTACCCATCACGTAGAAACCAATGCTCAAACGGCGGTGCTTTCCTTGTCACTGCCAGGCACAGAACCCCTCCTGCCCCTTCTATTGCCTTATCTCTTCGGATCCGCTTGAGCACTGACAGCTACATGCTTGTTCTCCTCATTGTCATGGTGGCATCGGGAAATGTGGGTGTTGGGAGGTTGCTCCCAGCCACAGGGGAGTTTAGCTCCTCTGAAGCACATGGGGACTCCCAGTGGGTTTCAGGAGGCACACACTTACCATAGGTGCTTAGTTAAATAGTCACGCGAATTTGCAGTAAGCACACTTCTCATTCATTCATTCATTCATTCATTCATTCATTCATTCATTCAAGAAACTCGAAAACTGCTAATATGTCAGGCACTGTCATGAGGCCACAAAAGTCAATGCATTACTCTCCTTGTCCTGGAGGAACTTGCAGCTGAGTGGGGAAAAAGCAATGTGCAAATCAAGAATTTCAGTGTAGAAATAGTATGTTTGGTACGGTAATAGTGGTAGAACAGGGTGCTGGGGGGAACAAAAGTGAGCAGTTGACCCAACTCAAGGAGTTAGTTGAGCAAGTTGTCCCAGGGGAAGTGATATTTCTCCTCATTTCCAAGATGCCAGCAGTGTTTCAAAAGGCTCCCTAGGAGAACGTGACGGAAGTTTCCGAGCAGTGGTGTCTTCATCTGCTTCGTCAGTTTGACATCAGTCTTCACCAGTATATTTCTGAAGCCCTTGAAAAAAATTATTACATAGCTTAGATGTGTCCATTAGAGAAACTTGAGAAAATATAAAGAAGAATAAAACATTCAAGCCAGTGTTCACCACTGTTAGCATTACTGAATCTGTTTTATAATATTTCCTTAAACTTTACCAATACCTGGAATTGGACTTGCCAGTTATATTGATGTCTTTCTAGAATAACCATCAGTGTGTGTCTTTTTTCAAAGTTGCTCTACTATTTTAAAGAACTTAGATATCTGGCGGTGCATGTTTGAGGCTCTTTGATTCATAAATTTTTACATTTTAATGTTTAATTATTGGACGGGCCCTAAAGGATAGAATAGAAAGACACCCCAATTGTCCATAATTTCCTGCAGTGGAGAACCTAGCTTTTGCAGAGGCTGCACCCCAGAGTGGTTCTTGGTGGGAAATGGGAGACCCTGCAAGTTCTCATGGTTGAAGGGAGGAAAAACAGAGCAACTATTTGTGGGAAAAGAAACCAGAATAGCCTCTCTGTGGTGGTGATATATTTGACAGAAGACAAATAATGTCACAGTGAACAGACTCCGGGTTTGATATGTTTTTAAACCGTTTGATTTCAGGTCATTTTAGCGATGCCAGAAAACTTGACATCTCACCATGTCTAGAATCCATAGGCACTGGGGGAATATAACTTTTTATTGCATGTGGGATGGTGACACTCACATGACCTATAAAAAGTTTATGCTGGTTGGGGAGGAGGTATATTTTATGGAGAGGATAAGAAAGAAGCTTGCACGTACTTCTTATATGTTCAGTAAGCATCAGAAGTGATTTTTATTAAGCTAATTTTTACTTAAAATTTGAAAAATAGAGATCCTCTTGCGTTTAAGAAATGTATGTAGCAAAATGTATCACATTAAATCCACCCTCCTGGTATCCTTTGGGGTTTAATGTCATTTATGGACTTTTTTGCATGCATAAACCCATCTGGAAGGAAAAAAGCTAGTCACAGAATAATATGTAGAATGTTATATGTAATAAAGTACATCCATATGATCTTTTTCAAAAGGTAGTCCATCAGAAACATTGTCTGCACTCTATTATAATTACCTTTCTATGTCAGTTCCTGTAGATCTACCTCATCCTTTCTAGTGGACAAATGGAAATTCACTGTCTGGACATAGCACAATTTAATCATTCTTCTACTGAGGGATAGTTCGATTATCTCTGTTTGTTTGCTGTTACAAAATAAGCTGCAGTCAATGCCCATGCATACATCCATTTGGAGATCTGTGTATCATCTCTTTTTAATTGTGTACACATCTCCAAGGAAACGATGAATCTGTAAAAAATGCTTCAAGCTGTTTTGGTCAGCAGCAAAAATATTTGACCTTAAGGTCATGACAAGCTGTAACTCTAATACAGTTTGCAGTTTGATAGCCGCCCTTCACAGAAACAGAAATCCAGTGTCTTGCTTGGACCCTGTAGATGTGTTTTTCTAGTCCTTCTTACTGGAAGTGATAGAAGGGAATAGCAGTTATTTCTAAGTGTATCTCTTTTGGGCAAGATTCAGAATCTCAAGCTATCAGATCTCTGGTTTCCATTCCATATTGTTTCTCAAAAGAAACACCTCTGAGAGGCCTTTGTCCTTTTCAGCAGCTACTCTACCCCTGCTCTTAATACAATTTATTTAGGAACAAATTTTAAAGTTAGTCACCATATGAACAAAATCAACCTAGTCCTTTTATAACTATTGTTAAATAGAATGTGGAAATATGTTAGAACTCTATTTTGTTCATGTTTTTAAAATGAAAGAGTACACGCCACTCTTATCATTTGTGTATTTAGGTTAATAATTAAATTTTCATGGAGCTTAGGACTTTATTAGCACCGTAATACGTGGTACAGTTCCAGATTTTGTCGATTTTGCACTCTGGAACAAATACTGTATTTAACATGAAAGTACACTGTTTTTCTGTATTATTAGCCAAAGAGAATTAGCGTCTAGGCATTCAGCATGCATAGAACGCCAGACTTTGTGAAGCAGGTCCCCATTTTCTTCGTGTCCATGGTGGCCCAGCACACGGGCTGTTATAGGAGTTGAGAAATGTTCGATCTCACTGGCATGAAGTTGTCTGGGTTGCTTAAAAAAAAGAGAAAAAGAAAGGAAACTAACATGGGGGGAGGTTCTCAAGCCTCGCCAACAGAGGCAGTTTTGGGGAGTAGCATTTCACACCTGTAAGCACGCACTCGCACACACCAGGCCTGACTCTCCGTTTCAGCAGAAGGCAGGAGGATCGAGCTGATGGAACGCTCCTCCGTCTTAGTCAGCACTGGCCCTTCGTGGCTAGTGCCTCTGCTCGTGTCAGCAAGGGCCTTTGAAGAGCGTGATGCTGCGTGACTTTCCTTTTTGGCTGCCTCTGTAATTGCTTTGTAGCTTTGAAGCACCATCTCAGGGATGTTTAGATGATGATATGCCAAGCCCACGGTAAGGCGTTTGAGAGCCTAAGCAGGAGAGAAATGGATCCCCAGCCGACTAGATCGTCTTGAATGTCCAAAACCCTTTATACATCACTTAAAAATGGGCATGGTTTGGGGCCGGCCGAGTGGCTCAGTTGGTTAAGAGCTCGCTCAAGAGTTTGAGCTCTGAGCAACAGCGGTTCGAGTCCAGCCCGAGCTGAGCAGCCGCTGAGCTGCCAACAGGTAGCAGGATGGCTCAGCTAAAAAAAAAAAAAAAAAAATGGGCATGGTTTTAATATTGAAAATGATAGCTAACCTTTATTGAATACGTAACATGGGCCAGGCTCTGTCCTATGTGCTTTATATATTCTGAGTCTTTTTATTTTCCCAGCAGCCCCATGAGGTAGGTGCTCATGATCTTTATTTTAGGTGATGAAATCAGGACGAAGAAAATTGGCCTAACCTGACCAAGGTCACGTGGCTAGTAAGTGGTGAAACTGGGCTTGGCCCGGAGCCTGGACTGTCACCATTCAGTTACGATTTCTTATGTAAGGCGCTTCTGGATTTAGTGTAAGCTTATATTTACTTTCAAAGTTAATTGCTCCTGAATGTGTTAAAAAAAAAACAATCGATGTAGCACCTAGAGTAACAACTAGATGGGCAGCTAGGATGCCTGTTTCTGGCTGTGCCAGCTGTGTGACCCCCAAGGAATTTTATTTCACTTCTCGGAGCTTTCATTTGCCCACCTGTAACGGGATTTCCTGGGATGTGGGGTCCTAGATGGCCACAAGTAAGCTTTTCCGGCTCTAACATTCTGTGACTTGAAATCTTGATTTGGCACTGTTAAATCCATCAAATGTGAACGAAGCAAGGCATAGTCTAAATTTTCTTTTCTATATTATCTTTCCAGTTTCCAGTTTTTGCTCCAGAGACAAAGGGAACGGAAGAAGCAAAGTTAAGCAGAGAATAATGGAGGGGCGAGGATTAGTAGAGAAAAAGGGAAACTACAGATGGGCATTTGGGTCTATTTGCGTTATAAAGCAGGCCCCCTCGCAGACATAGTGTGTGGGTGAGAAGGATGGTGGAAGCTGGAACTTTTAAG